ATACTCCCTTAGGTGGAGACACTCCCCAAATGGGTGGAGCATCTCCCCTCGCCAAGTGTGTACAGCTGGTGGAGTCTCTCCCCAGGGGTTTTTAACAGCAGGAGAGATCAGGTGGAGCTCCTCCCCTCGCCTAGGTGGAGTTTCTCCCCCAACGAGGGAAGTATAGCTGGTGGAGTTTCTCCCCAGGGGTTTTTAACAGCTCCGAGGAATGCAGCCAAAAATGCACCACTATCTGCTCAGTGCAACACGACGTCACAACTAAGAAACACCTTCTTTGATGCAGGTCTTTTGTCGTGGTGGCCTGGAGCTCAGCTGGTTCACCAGATGGCTCATCACCTGTCAAATCCTGAGCTCAGCCTTTGACATCACATCGCAGCTTTCTCTCAAAAGCCAGCAACATGTCACGACCTGAGTCAACTCAAGATCCCTCGTTTCAGGATGAGTATGCGGAATTCTGCGAGCGACGGACACGGGATCAACTTCCGTATGTCACATATAGAAATTTTTTGCGCCAGTGGAGGCGCTCTGCTCGTGCTCACGGCGAAAGTTATCCAGCACATAAAGGTGCCTCAAAAGGCACGGGTGGATCGGAAGAGTCGGGAGGTGGAAAGGGTGGAGTCACTCCCCGCGTGTACCCCGCTTTACAACCAGAATCCCCACTTTACAACCAGAACCCCCACTTTACAACCCATGAGCCTTTCCGGAATCCCCACTTTGCAACCGGTTGGGAAAGCTTCTTAACAACCCTATTAACTGATAACGTCAAAGCCTAGAATCTCTAGCATCATCCCCTACGGCAGCCATGCAGGTTGGAAAGTGATGTTGGTTGCAATGTGGGCGTTCTTAACCCGAAACCACGATAGATATGTGTGTGTACATATATATATATATATATATATTTATTTATTTATTTATTTAGACGCGTGAGGGTTTGGTATCGATGATATACTGTTTAGATGCTCACCTCAGCGAGCGTGTTGTGGCATAGTGGTTTGCACTTTACGCACTTGCGGCCGTCAAGCTGTATCCAACTCACTCCCTGCAGGCAAACTCGGACCGAGTGTGTTTGTATTGGGGAAAGCAGAAAGAAAACATGAGTTTTAGAAACGGATTCTTTTCTCACCAGAGCGCAGGTATGCATTTGGTTCGGGTGCATATTCTAAACCTGCATATTCTAAACCTAGTGGCTTTACAAGGGTTTAGGGCTTCGGGTTTAAGGCGTAGGGTTCGGGTGCATATTCTAAACCTAGTGGCTTTACCAGGGTTTAGGGCTTAGGGTTTAAGGCGTAGGGTTCGGGTGCATATTCTAAACCTAGTGGCTTTACAAGGGTTTAGGGCTTAGGGTTTAAGGCGTAGGGTTCGGGTGCATATAATCCGGAGCAGCCCTCAACTACTGCTTTGCCTCCAGCCAGGCGCACAGAAGCACCCACAGACGACAAAGATCAAAGATATCATGCGACGAAGCAATTTTAGGGATGTTCGAGATCTTAGTAGTTTGGGGCCACGGTCGCATGAAGGCCACGTAAAACACTTTAGGGGGTCAAAGAACCAACAAACTATTAGGAATCTAGGTAGGTTTGTTGTAAAACAACTCATGAAATCCCAATAAGTCTTAATCATGGGTAGACGGGTTGCAAAGTGGGCGTTCTCACGATCGGCAGTTGTAAAGTGGGGATTCTCACACGGAAAACAGTGTCTGTGGTTGTAAAGTGGGGATTCTGGTTGTAAAGTAGGGATTCTGGTTGTAAAGCTGGTTAATCCCGTCACTCCCCTCCCCCTCCCTCCAAAAACAGAAGCACTGGGCAGAGCGAGGGTGGAGATACTCCCCCCGCAGCAAAGGCCAAGAGTGGAGATCCTCCCTCTGGGGACCTCTCTTCACAACAGGCCACAGATGATCGAACTGAAGCGGCCATCAAAATTCTTCAGAGTGCGGGCTATACTCCTTTTCCCAGCCTGGTCACAGCCTGCGACGGTTCCATCACCGACCTGAACAACCACAGAATTATGGTGACAGGCAACTTCGAGATGGCCTCAATCAGGCGGAAAGACCGACCCCTGAAATCGCCAATGCCCTTCTCGAGACTTTCTTAGCCTCCCGCCGGGGCCTAGCGAATGAATCCCTGCACTCGAAGCTTGGCTTCCCAACAGCTGAGGAACATGGATGGTTTCGATTTGAGTATTCTTCTCCAAACATACTCCCAGCTGGAGACAGTGAGGTGGCGTTCCACGGTGCACACCTGGAATGTTTGCATGGGATACTGGCAACAGGACGACTTCTGCCTTCGACTCCGGATCTCACAGGAACAAGAAGCTTTGAGGACCGTCCAGGAGTGTATCTCCACAGGCTTTCAAACAGGCATCTCGCGGCCGGATACAGCTGCCTGGTGAGGATTGGTCCTCGCCACATATTCGCTCGGCCCATGATCGAGGCGGAAGCTGCACACTCTGGATCGCAAAAACGTGGCAAGAAAACAAACCAACTTATATACTCCTTTGATGCAGTGAAAATCCGAGCGCTGCTGCTCCAAATCTCAACAAAGGAGACTCTCTCCCTAGGCGAGTACCTCCGCGAGTGGAGCGGAATGCTTGAGATTCCACTTCGGCAGGCTCGTGACTCCTTCACAGCTCTGGGATATGACTTGCCTAGCGAAGCTACCTCGTCAGATCGAGGAAAGGAAGGAGGAGTTACTCCCCTTCCAGCTCCAGAGCAAGCGTCAGGTTCAAAGGGTGGAGTTCCTCCCCCGACTGAGATCGCAGCGATCACTGACAACAGCACAGCCACACCAAGGAGCTCTTCCATTGTGGCATGGGAGGGTGAACCGGGCGATCTTGGAGACTACTGCACAGCCTCTATGGATCCAGAGACCCGCTTCTCGTTTGAAGTATCCAAAGCGCTGGCAGCATGCCTCAGACACGGGCACAGACCGTACATCAATGTCACTTCGGCCGGGTGGGCCAAACTCGAGGACGTGGTTTCTTGGCCAAGAGTGCAGAATCAGAACGCCACGGCAGGCGATCTCATGGAGATTGTTCGTCGTAACACCAAAGGCCGGTACGAGTTGGGAGACTGTCAAGGCACGAAGTACATCAGGGCACTGCAAGGACATTCTCGCTCGGATGTCAACTCATCAGAGGTGTTAGAGGAACTTACGGAGGAGATGCTCCCCGGCATGCTCTATCACGGCACCTACTGGTCCTTGTACGACCCAATACGTCAAGAAGGCCTTCTGCCACAAAACAAGATCTCCAAGGGCCGCGGCAAAGGTGGCAGGGAGGGACGGCAGCATATCCATTTCTTGGCGGACAGCGACTATGGGAAATCAGGTGTCTCCGGTTTCAGAGAGAACTCGTCCATGCTGGTAGCGGTAAACCCTCGCAAGGCCTCACAGGTAGGGGTGAAGTTTTTCCGTAGCAAGAACGGCGTCATTCTCACCCCAACAGAAGTGCCTCCTTCTGTCATAGAGTACTATCAGAGCCTGAAATCAGGCACTAAGTACGGAGGCAACAATAGGCCGCTCTGACACCACATAAGAGCCCTGCCAAATGGTGGAGTCGCTCCCCTAGCAGACATTGCAGCCGCTCAGGTCAAAAATCAGAGTTTAGGTCTAGGGTTAACTCAGCATGCACCCCCTGGCAGCACCCAAGTTTCTCGAGGTCAGATCTACCATTCGATGCAGAGCCTCGGGCCCAGTCCCTGCAAGTAAACTGACAGCCAAAGGATCACAAGAATCGCAACTTATGCATGTCTGACAGGCTCAACTCATCAGCTGTCTTGATTCCAGTAGCCATGCCTGAAACTCCTAAGAAAAGTGGCACCAGAGCGAACTCTCGCACCCCTCCGCCAGTGAGACGTCGTCCTCACCTACCCAGGTCGCCACCATCCAGTGATGCTATCCAGGAGTCAGACTCAGAAGAAGCAGTGGCACCCAAGGCTGATGCTCCTAAGGGCCCGCCGCCACCGGTGCCTGTCAATTTGCCGAGAAGTGGATCCAGTACGGACCTGACACCAGGAGGACCAGGTAAGGCATCGGGAGTTCCGGTTAAAGGTGGAATCCCAGGAGGAGTCCCTCCCCTGGGACCCCCACCAAAAGCTGTGACCTCCACTATATCCCATCCGGGGACTGGAGAACTCTATGTTACGAGCACTGGTCCAGCAGGAGTTACTCTGCCGTCAGCGAACACCAACGAGTTGGAGAGGGCGCCCGGCATACCTCTACTGAGCATCTCACTGCCGCATCGACTCTTCTACAACATAGAGCTTGTGGTTCGTACTGAGCCATCACAGCGAGTCTAGAGAACACATTCGCGACAGCTGCTGAATGCAAAATGTTCCGCAGCCAGTCAGCCAGTGACATACTGCAACCAAGCCGGAAAGCTCTTCGCTAGTGCCGAACCCTAAATTGCATCCGACTCTGCAGACACATTCCCATCCCACTTCACAGCTTGCAGCCTTGAGGGGCGGAGCGTGTGCAAGTGCTGTGTTGAGGCACGGCTTGCCGTGAAGAGTGACCGCGCAAGTAGCAAGCAGGGCACTAGGTCGATCCCTCGCAAAGCGTGGACGAAAAGTTTCACCAAAGACAGTCCTCCCCCGCTGCGTGTGAATGAGTGTTGCTGTTCTTGTTCTTGTTCGTGTAGTTGCTGTAGCTGTAGCCGTTGCTGTAGGCTGCTGTCGTCGATGTCGCCTTCGTTCTCGCTGTGCTGCTGTAGGGGTAGCAGTGGAGTTGCAAAATCTGCGGGCGGTTTGCGTGTCTGCGCATGTGTAAAGGAGTGCAGTTTCAACTCAGCAAGCAGGGCCGGCATACGCAATGGTTTGTGCACGGTGGCAACGGACAACATCGCAAACACCGACGCACAGGGCACGTGCGGTTTGCGTATTTTTATCGCATCGGAGCGTTGAGTCGTCCTGGCGCAAGCAGTGCTACCAGTAGGCTCGCAGTAGCCCAGGGCATGGGGATGTGCTGTTGCCACATGTCATTTGTCGTAGAGAAAAAAGCGGCGGGTCAAACGAAGCTGAAGCACAATGCTCTAGATTCCGAGGCTAGTTTTTCCCAGCCTTGCGTGAAGCCAAGCAGGAAGAGCAGCTCCACCAAACCTTCCACGCCCGACTCTGTGAGACCAAAGTTTCCATCTTTGAATGACTTGAAGAGGAGCAGGACAAGGTGGGAGGAGCTTATAAAGATGAGGTCTGCGACGAGGATGACAATGATGACCACGAATCGCTTTAAGGCAAAGAATCGTTCATCTCGTGCATACTGTACCTGTGACAGTCACTTTTGTGTCAAGGTCGGGAGAGCCTGTTTTGCCGGGGTGCGGCAGTTCATGCAGCCAAACTGGTCTCACAACTATGGGGCCTCACGGCAGCCAGTTAACTTCCAAGGCGGGTGGCACTGTGCAGCGTGGAGGCTTTGCTGAAATAACATTTGCTGCAGCCACATCTGTTACGTCTTTTGGTCTAGATACATCAACACTGTTACAACAAGAAGAATTCAGCAACTAGGCTGACGCGGTGATTTTGCAGTTAAGCTGTCCAAGACATGGCTAGTTCTACACCTCCCCTTTTCCGGTTTTGCCCAACTGCACGAGGCGACATGACCAGACCTCACGCAGCCAAGCAGACATGCCCCAGCACTGCCACTTCGCAACGGCCACACCGATGCTTTCAGTAGATATGAGATCTGTTGGTCTTGTGGGACAGGCTACAAGTGCGAAGGCCTTCGTTCAGCTGCACTGAGACTTTTGTCGAACACAACTGCAACAAAGTGTCCCGACTTGTGTCGCCCCTATGGCCCGTCCACGGCACTAAGCCCATTGAAGTCTCAAATTCTCCGCCAGGCGACATAAAGGCACACCGGCATCCAGGTGAACACAGCTGTCGATGCTCCGATGGGGAAGTTGAGCTTCATTAGGCCCCATGAGTTGCCCGAGTCATCGACAGAGTCCACCCCGAGCCAAAACCTGAAATGTGTTGTGCGCGAGTGGGGACCTGAAGAAGTGTGCTAGGACCCGGGTGCCAGCCAGGGAGCAGATGGATGGCAAAAGAGAACAGCGGCCACATGAACGCCAGAAGCATGTAGACAAGCTTGGTATGACCTGCCACCAGAGATGGTCACACACACCGGCAGGCTGGATGCAGTGGCAGCTGGATGTGCGTCCGGGGGGCGGGGGACAGCAACTAGGCCCTAGGCTTGGGTCTACTAGAAGATCCCTTTCACTGGCGGTCTGCAAGTTTCAGTCCAGCTCAACTACGAAGGCTCGTGTGGCACCTTTCGCTGGTCGTGGCAGGAAGGCATAAAAGAACGCAGCAAACATCATGCCCTTGACCACCATGAAGTAGTTGTCGAAAACCAGAGCGTACCACCAAAACTGCTGGCGCCCGTCCCCGGCATTGACTGCGTTGGCGCTCATCAGCCACAAGTTGTTTAGGATCACAGGGCTGAGGCTGCCAATGAGTAAGATCAAGCTGAGGAAAGTGGAGTTTGCCCTCGCGGAAATGACGGGATAGGCACTCTGCTCCTCAGCGGAAAGACCCATTGGAGGTGGATCAGGGCCAATGTCTTCCCGGTTTCGCAGCTGCTGCTCCAAAGCTAGCACTTTCTGTCGTTCGTTGTCGTCCATGGCCTTTCGAAGGCTCACTCGAGTTCTCTTCCGTCATGCACTCTCCCTATACTATGTAATGGGACGCATCGTCACGAATAACAACGTCAACAAGAACAAGGTCTGCGTACTTCTTGGTGTCCCGAAAGGTCAGGCAATTTGCTTTCGCTGTTCACAAGAGTTTCACGACGGGATTTCAGAAAACGTCGGCGTGTTTTCGTCCGCATGTCAGTCATGAGGCATCGAACCCTGAAGGTCTGAATCCTTTTGCTTTGTGGTATGTGAGCACTGTTTGCATGTCGCAAGGAAGATGCACAAGCAAATATGAAGGATCCCTCATCATGGGACTGTGGAAGAAGCCCAACACAGGAAAGGAACCAGCGCGCTCAGTTTCCTGATTCAACACATTTAGCCCCAAAGTTCTTCCACGAGTGCAGCCTCCTCGGGCCGTTTCGGCACCCAGACTCAAGAACTACCTCATAAGTAGGCGGCGTGTATATGCACAGGAACTAGCTTTCTGACTGATAACGAATTTACGCGCGCCGCCGTTGCCCGCCAGGCCACATGTTCATGCAGCCTCAAGTGCCGTCCAACCGTTGTGCGCCAGCTGTTCGAAACGGGCTGCGACTCATAGCCTGGCTGGGCGGCCCGTCCCTGCTACTGGCTGGGGGACTCCGGGTCCGTTGCCAAGAGCCGGGTTGTGGGCGTCGGACAGTTTGGACTGCACTCATCCCTGGAGTTGGGCAGTGCTTCTGTGATGGGCTTTGTGGACAAGCTTGTTTTGGGCTTGTGCGGCCGTCTGCTAGGATTGCCTTACAAGCCTGAAATAGCTAAACTTTGGGGATTTTGGTTCGGGTTTGCACTGCAGTATCGTTCGGACTCCTGGGCTTCCCTAAGCCACACTCACCGCGAGCAAGAAAAGAGCATCAACACTAACAACAACACTAGATAACTCTACAGCTCAAGCACTGCACAAGAAAACCTTGAATAAGACATCCAGCCTCTGGATTTGGGCGAACATGTGCTAGAATCTGCCACAACCAAGCAAAGGAAGTAAGAAATTCAGGGTCCCTTACCCCCGAGACCCAATTTCTATTCCAAGTTCTCAAATTTGCCACACAGGACCCTAAACACTTTACAGTACCTTGAAGCCGGTTGAACAATTCGCCCGAAGGCACGCAGTAGAGGTGATGATTTGATATGATATCCGGTCGCTTGGACGGACTTAGGATTCCTGCGGCAAATCGACGAGAGTTTCGGAATTCGCCCGAAGGCGATCAGCAAAAGTGAACATTTGTGACGGGACCCTGACGTAGGGAGAGCGTCAAGAAAGAAGCCCACAAACACACCCGACGACATCGCAACTCCCACCCCGCACTTCCCACCTCCCAAACATAGTAACAGTAAGTGTCCCAACCACAGCAAGACAACATGCACAAACACAAAAAACTGTGGTACTGCAGGTGCCGAAGTTACGAACCGAGCACGCGCAAAATCCTGCAAACAAAGACTCGTCACAAACTTCTGGCTCGGGAAACACGGAAAACACCGTACGCCGTACGCACCTGTGCTTCGGTTTTTGCAAAGCTCAAAAAATCTCGAGAAAAGTTCGAACCTATCTGCCCGCGACGCAAACATGCAAAACAGAGAAGTGCTGCTAATACTTGTAAATACGCTGCAGTTCGTTTTGTCTGGCTCTCCAATGCAGCGCCCCTTGACCTTCGCCCTTACGAACTGCTCAACCCGTCGGCACAGCGACGCGCGCGAAGGCCAAGAACAGCAGTCACAACCACAACGACACCACAACCACGTGGAGAATATGAGCATATAGCCACTCCGAGGTATCATCATGCCAATCCTCTGCGATCATGTCATCAAGATGTGGAGACGAGCAACCTGCGAACAGATGCTGGCACAACAGAAGCTTCATCTTTTGTAGTACCTGTCTTGCCTCCAATGGCTTGACGAAGTTAAACTTTGATGGGGTACTTCGCGGCCGTCTCTTCACCAAAACTTGCGGCGTCACCTGGTAGACCCTCGCACAGTGCCAGTTCTCCTCCACGCTGTCGCGGACAACTACAAGCTGGCCGACGTGGTAGCGCGGGCTCATGGCGCACGGGCTGTCCGAGGGGCCGAGGGGCTCTGGAAAAGACAAGGCCGCCCTCGAGCCGAAGCAGCGCCTCTGCCATCTCCGAGCTGCGGACGAGCTGCGTCTTAAGCAAAAGTCCCAGTGCAAGCAGAAAGCACCCGATTTCTCTCAGCTCCCTGAAGGCTCGCGGCTTCTCACCGACTTAGGCCTTGCCGCAACGCGCCGCTTTGCCTCTTAACAAGGCATGTCCTCGCACCTGCGACAGTCGCGTCGCAGCAGCAAGCTTTGCATTTGCACCACGCGATGCAGGTCAGGGGGACATGAGTTTCGTTACTAAGCGGCCCGCCATCCACATGGAATCTTCAAAGCCATGTCTGGGCGCAAAGACCCACACTTGGTGTAGAAGGCACACAGCGTTGCATAGATGCTGTGGCAGTGCCGTGGATTTCCACGGCAGCCCTCGGGGAATACAACTCGCAGATTGGTGGAAGCAGAAGCAAGCCTGCAAGGCTGGTTTCACAATGGAGTTCCTACCATCAGCAACCGCGCGTCGACGGGGATGGTGGCCCCCGTGTTGTGATCAATTCGAGAAACGATGTCGTGCCGCGGACGTACCTCATCCGGGCTCATCGGCCAATGCCACTCTGGCTAAGCAAACACATCTTCACACTGAGCTGGCGTCTCCGTGTCCACGCTGTTTGCCCCTTCTACGTGACACTCAATGCGGGAAGCTACTTGTGCCTCTGCTGCTTGCTCTGCTCGTGCTGCTCGCAGTCGCTGCTGTGGTCATAACTGTTGTCGTAGAATAAGATAGTGCTGGCTGTCTTTCTGGTTCGCTTTCCCTGTCCCGTTTTCCAGCTTCAGACTCCCGACACCAACCAACAACGGCATAAGCAGCGCGACCACAACAGCCACAGGAAGCAACAACAACTACAGCATAGTGACACAAGCGACAGCGGACAAAACTGCAAAATGCAGACAGAGCAAAGAAGCAACTCGGGACAGAGGGCCAAGCGGAGCACGAGAGACAAAGCAAACTGGAGCAAACAAGAAGCCCAGGAAGCAGGACTCAGAGATACTCAGAGATCACAGCACGAATGAGACAAAGGACAGCGGAGCTAACGTGCAACCCAGGACACAGGACTCCGATTGCTTCTGACTCACGTCAGTGGAGACAGACAGTTGGGGTGTATTGCGCAAGGCCAGGCAAGGTTCAGAACTTGGAAAGTTTGGGGCTTGCCTCTTGCATTTGGGGTTTAGGATTTCATGCTCGATGCAGTTGGAGTCCTGTGTTCGGGGCTTCCTGCTACTTCATGCAGTCGGAGCCCCGTGCCAGGTCTCTTGCCAGCTTCTTTTTGTCTTTTGGTTTCGTCACATCCAGTCGGAGTCCTCTTTGCTGGCCCCCCCTTTTTGCTCCACAGCTTTGCTTCAAGCGGTCAGGGTCCTGCGTACTGGCCTCTTGTTTGCTCAGGTTTGCTTTGTCTAATGCATACTTGTCTGTTCCGGCTTGCTTTGTCTCGGTCGGTCGGTTCGGAGTCCTAAGTCCTCACTCCAAAGTTTGTTGATTGCACCATCTACTGTCTGTGATGTGGTGCGCGCCCTGTAAGCCTTTGTGCTGACATGCTTTTTGCTCCGGTTTGCTGTCTTTGTGGTCCTGTGTCATAAGTCTCTGGTTTGTTCCGTCGACTGCTCTGTTGCTTGCTCTGCTGTGCTTCGGTTTGACCGTTTGCATTGCCCCAATCTCACTCATATCGTCAGACTCCTGTATCCTCGGCTTCTTGCTTGCTCCGTTTTGCTTTGTCTCTTGCCGTCAGATGTCTCTGTCCTGGGTTGCCTATTTGCTCCGGTCTGCTTCGTCTCATGCGGTCGGACTCCTGAATCCTGACTTCTTGCTCGATGCCATTGCTCGCGCCTCGTGCTGTCGGCTTCCTATGTCCTGGGTTCTTCTTTGCTGCAACCGGAATCCTTGTCCTGCATTTGTTTTCGCTCCGTGTGTTACATTCGGTGGAAACCTCCGTGCTGGGCGCCTGTTTGCTCCGATTCGCTTGTCTCGTGCCTTTTGAGGGCCCTGCCTTAGCCTTGACTTCGGCTAAGCCCGCTATTCTCCCAGCCATGAGAGGAAAGACCTCTCCAATACTCTCAGCACAAATGGCGAAGATAATTAACAAGGACAGCTTCGGGCGGGTTGCCGTCACGGAGGTGTAGCGATTCGTCGACAGCTTGTCCTCGCCGAACAGCAGGGCTTCGGCCACCCCAATACCTGGCTTGGGACTCACATGCCGTGCACCCAAACCAAGGAGGAGACCGTCGCTTCGTCGCTGAGCTTGAGGTTCTATGTCTCAGCCGATGCAAAGTCAACTCTTTCTTCTAGCGCCTATACCTGACAATGCGGAATTCTGCTTCGGTGGCCTGGTGCTGCGAATGCCACGGCAGTCATTTCCACATGCCGACCTTGCAGATCATGTGAGCACTGTGCGTCGCACGCTGCTGCAACTGCAACAGACAATCTCACTGTAGATGATAAACACGAAAGGCGAAAATCCATTCGGAAGTTGCTCCAAGATCAATCATTTGTGGTCTGTTAGAAGCACCAACAGAGCACATAGTTAGCGTAATGCCGTCATGATTTGCTGGAAGCCGTTGTGAAAGCAGCAGCACCGGAAAGCACAAACACCAACAACACCCGCACTGTCATCCATAACCATCGCTCACAGCAAGGTCACGACAGTTAGTATAATCAAATTCTTCGTCCGAAATATGGTACTCATGAGCGGCAGCCACTTCACGCTTTGCAGTATCATCAACGACCACATCTTATCGCAACTACTATGGCTGTCCATCTGCTCAGTCGCCAGTATCGACTCATCGTCACCATCACTCCGAGCTACCACCAGCCACACACACTCCTAAAGTACTCCGGCTCAATGATGCCAAAGAGTAAATGATAAATAATGATGAAGGGGCCCCATGACCCTGCAATTCATGTGGCGCCGTAAGGCAGAAGTCGCAACAGAGCTTGAACACATTTTCCCACCTGCATGTTGCAGCTCTTCTCGTTGAACTTCGGCAGCAACGAGCTTTGCGATGCCGCCGCCCAGAGAGTGCCTTGCAGCTGCGCGTGTGGGTACCTAAGAGCCGCCAGATGGCCTGCAGCTGATCTCGGCCAGGCACCCAGTGATGTAGAAATTCCGGTCAGGGTGGCTTTTCATTCCTCAGGACACTCGGACAATGCCTCAATCACAGCCCCCATCCCGAAACCCCGAACCCTAGACGCCCTCGAATCCTTTTCTAGCACGGGCTTGGGTTGTGTGCCGGCAAGCTGGACTCTCAAGGTCTTCATGAGACACCGGCTAACTTGAAACTGATCTAAACCATAGACCCCTTCCGGCCATTGACAGGTCAGGCTCGCGCTTTCACCTCCTCTAGCAGGTGCATGAAGGTCAGGGTGAACCTGGCATCCTGATAGGGCTTTCCAATCCGCTGACACACTGTCAGGCAGGCTGTTAGGGTCGGGCTCTTCTCGAACAACACTCTCGCACTCAAACACCTCAGGCAGGAGCCCAAACTCTTGACGCTGTGCGAGTCAGTTTCGCTGTTCTAGGAAAGAGCCAAGGACAAAACTGGCGATGGAGCTACGTGAACACAATGCCGCCTATCCTGACTACTAGACACTCAACGATGTCCACAGCCTCACGGCAGTATCCCTATGTCTCAAATTACTACGGTTGTTCTTGCAACTGTCATCGTTCATGCCCGTGGTGCCGTTCTCTTTTGCACTTGCCCTTTCTAGCACTGCTATGTCGATCTCGTGGCGTCTGTTCGCTACTGGCCGCCTTTCCCACGACCAGAAAGCACCCAAGCGAACGCGCACAACAAGCTGCAGAGCCTTGAACTCTAATTAGCTTTGCAAGATTGAATACGAACTTGGCCGCAACCCTCACCACATACGAGGAGCGCGCCCTTAAGAAGACTAAAGCTTTCACACCCCCATGTGCAGCCTGCAGCATGTAGACGCGGCGACAAATCCAGGCAATGGAAGGGCCCCAAAACTTCACAACCTGATGCTGGCAGTTGCAGGCGTCGTGAGTCGTGTCAACTGCACCAGGCGGAACCCAGAGCAGTTCTGCCAAGCCACGTTGGGGCCCAGGTTTTCGAAAATGTACATCATGAACACTGGCAGCCAGAGATCCATATCTTGTAATGCATCGAAGAAATCAGTCGTGCCGCGCACGGCAAAAACCGCGGTGCCTCGAGCCGGGCACTGACTCGGTCCGCTCAAAGTTTCAGTGACGATCTCAATCGGAGCCTAGACACTATTGTCTGCAGAAGCGAATTCGAAGAAAGTGGTGACATCAGGGACGTCTTGTTGTCCTTTCCTCAAAGCCAGTGGAAGGTGAGCCTCAGTCGCAGTTGAGCTTGTCGACGCTTGAAACGCGAGGATTGAGCTAAGGGTCGTAGGCGACACGCCAGCCAGGGAAGTACTGGGTTAGCAAGCTCTGCACATCGTTTGCCGGTTCCTGACAGTTTCGTCTGCCATGCCTGCCGTTCCCCTCGGGCGGACGATGCATTCCGAGAGTCGTAAGTGAAGGCAGACATCAAACCGAAGTCGGCCTCAAAGGTGCGGGACGTTCATTGCAAGGCATGGAATGTATTTTTTGACACTCACACTCGGACAAGCCTGGCAAGGTCTGCTGGTATACAAGTCTTGTGCGTTAGCTTGCTTCTCGATCCGACATGCACTTTGAGCTCCGCTTGTGTTGGATCTCGTGCACGAAGGACAGAACTCAAGCAACAGGTACCGCGACCTCACACTAGACCCGACTCAGACGGTTCCCCTTCTCACCTTCATGTGATGCGTGCCACAGTGTACCACACCAGGGCACACTAGAATGGAAATGCACATCAGCCTCATTCCCCAGTTTGCGATGTGCTGAAAAAAGGGAGACCTCCCTTTCCATGTTGTCCTTCGATCGGAATCCGCACCGCGTTAGAAAGTTGGCAGTTTTGTCAAGTTCCGCACCTTCCTATGCAGAGAACCCTACGGTGTAGACTCTCAGCCGGCAGGAAAATGCTCGCGCACATGCCCGTGCTCAGATGATCTCCAAGACTTGCGTATCTTGAAATGCAGTGTGACAGTCGAGTGCATTATGTTGCAGGTTCGGTTCTGTATCGAAAGTGTGCCTTCAATTGGTAGCAAAGGCTCTCCCTGTCGTTGGCCGAAGGAAAAAGTAATGTGCCCCTGTTGTCGAATGTGCTCGTGCGGCAGTATTGCGAAAGTGCTCACCGCGATCTCTTTCGAACCTGTCAAAAGGCTCGCCAATGATGCAGGATTCACCAGCACCAGCCCCTCTTCCAACCCGAAACATAATACCAAACTCAGACAACCCGCAAGGGCATAAGATAGTCAAAGTGAGGGGGTACTGCTACCATACCGACATGCAGCGAGACGATAGCAGCTGAGCTGCCAATGAGAGCGTGGCTCCGTTGTGGATTGGAAAATCCATCTGACAAAGAGGCCACCGGCCGCCCAAAGCACCGCGGTAGTCGACGGGGTAATAGACCTTTGGCAGGAAAAGCGCACAAGCCCTTAGCCTTGAACTGAGTGGGACCGTGTGGGCGGCCCCAGGTCGCGCCAAGCCACGCACTTCGGGTCACCCATCAAGCAGAACATGGAATCTGTGGCGGACTTCCGCTCCACAGCCATGCAGTTGCAAATGACACCTGAGTTCCGGTGAGTGTGGCAGCGTCGCGGGGAACTGCAACCCTCTAACACAGGAGAAGATTCGAAAATGACTACCGTAAAGCCTGGTCACAGATCAAAGCAAACTGGAAGCCTGGGCTCCAGGATACTGTCGCTTTGCAACATTTTTCTACACTCTACACCCCTGGGAAACTTTGTTTAGCCTGACGGACGCAACCGGCTCGCAAGCTCTGTGCTTCCCGGAGACTTCCCAATCCAAAAAGTGCCAAGGACCTCGGCTCGTAAATCAACTACGGCCATGGATCTGTTTTGGGGCATGAACTTCCGCCGCTGTGTAGTGCTGCCCACAGCACCGTATCCGCTCTCCTGCTGCCAACCGCTTCTGCAAGCCAAACTCGCGGGGAATGAGGAGGATGCCCAGAAGAAGGCTATCTTGCCATGCATTCAGCAACCTTGCACCCAAGTAGTGTGCGAAAAACCCACCAAACAAATGCCCAGTCAATTGCGCCCGTGTCGACGAGAGGCGGGTTGTGCCACAAGACAAGCAAACCTGATCCATGCGAGCCAGGCCCATCTCTCTCTCCCTCCCTCCCTCCCTCTCCTTTATGCAGCCCAAATGCAAAACAAGGTCAGGCTGAAGCTCTCCAGAATTCCACCCAACCAGGTCCAGGGTTTGAGGAATAGTACCGCAAGTTGGGCAGTGAAGCATGCCTGTGTCTACCGGCTAGTTGGTGCAAAAAGCCATGGAGGGAACTCAGGATGGGCGATCTTGGTTTTTTTGCCTCCCGCCTGGCTAGGACGAACCTACGATCTTGGTTTAAGTTCAATGCCTTGTGGATCATGCAAGGGAACTCGCAAAGAGCAGAGGAGATTTCCGGCAATGCCGGAACCTCCCACTCTGGCCCCTTGTCCCACTGGCCCTCTTTACACACCTCTTTCCAGTCCTGTTGGCTACCTTCTCTGTTCGGGGGTTCCGGCATCTGGCCCTTGACCACCATGAAGAGCGGTTCTGAATCTAGCCGCTCATGTGTGACAGGCTGCCAAAAGGATCAATGCGCAGCACCACATGGAATACCACCATTCTAGAGCTCCAGCTAGAACGCCCATGAAGAAGACCTGAATTGCGAATGCTGCGAGGCGGCTGATGCGACGGCATTGGCGTGTCAGTTCATATAGGCACAGCCAGGTCAGCCAAGGGGCCATCAGGCACAAAGGCGCTCGTGCCTTCAGCTGGGACATGTACTTCAACCCACCTCGGATAACGACGAAGTGAAGGGGCCCTATTCCCAAAGCCTCATACCTATGGTCACGGCTATTCAAGAACTGGGCCAAGAGACAGAAGATCTCCTGAGATGCACAGGGCATCAAGCATTGTGCATTTTGCTCCAGGCTGGCTTCCGACAAGTGCGACCAAGGAGCCCCCCACTCCTCCAAATGTCGGAGGCGGGCCTCGGAGCCGCAAAAAGTTTGCGACCACCTCGAGCGGATCACTGGCTTGCCTGAGCACGGAAACCGGTTTTGATCAGATCGTAGCGACAAGCAAGTGTCGAAAGACAGAGCTCGAATGCCTATGTGCGTGAGGGTGATAATCATGGCGGTCGCTTGGGCACCGATCACAACGACAGCGGCTTTGCTTGTAACCAAGCCATAGAGAGTCGCCGCCAGGGCGAGCAGCAGGGGCATCACATTGCAAACGAAATGGTAAGCCGTGCAACAAGGCACACCTCAAACTCACGACTGCTTTTAGCTCACATCTCTTTTCTAGTCTTGCGCATGCGATATTGCTTGGATCATTCTCAGCGCCACTCTCCCCAAACAAGTGCACCCGAAGCGGCAAACATCAACCGGCTTGTCACCACTCCAGGCTGCGAGCGACTCCTCAGATGTCACAGACCTTTCCCAGACCTTCCCATATCTTCCCACTGTTTCCACTGGTGCCAGTTTGCTCGAAGCGACGGCTTTCTTTACCAAGTGCTCGTTGACCAGAACGTGACCGTGGCTCTCCAAAGCCTGGTTCGGCAACTGCCCCGTGTCCTTGAACTTGGAGAAGCACTCTTTGAGATAGACGGCTCAAGAATTTGGGAAGTAGAGTTATTGCATGTTTGCTGTGCTACATCGCTCATCGTGCTTGCAATGCGTTATGCTTCTCCTCGTCACTGCTCTCTTCTTCGTCGTCGCTGGAATCAGATCCCAAATCTTCGGCCACGACGGTGCTTTCAATCTCATGGTCTGGTAGCATGGATGCCGGTGTGGTCTCGCGCGATAAGCCTGACAAAGACCATGCCGGAATGCTGCTTGAAACGCTTTCGAGATCGGAGGGGCAGTGGCAAGAGTGAAGTATGGTAGCAGCTCAGTGGCGTCCAATAGGCAACACGCGAGTGCCAGTCCCCAGCCGGGAAACTCGGAGGATGTTGGTGTTCCTTCCAACTGTCAAGCCAAAGACGCTCAATGACAAACGGGTCTGACAGTCTCAACACCTTGCTGCTATTGCCGGGCTGAGTCGCCACGCAGCCACAAATGCCTTGGCCTTGAGCGACACATTGCCTCAGACTGCGGTGCGAACGGCACCACGGGTCGAAGCACAAAAACAAAAAGCTTGTTGCAAGCAGCTGGCCCATCGTCCAGGCCGTCAGAAAGAGCACCACATGTAAACAGGCAAGAACTAACAGCGAGCTGGCCAACATGTAGTGAATCCTGCAGCCAACAAGCTGTCACCTACACCGATGACGGCGCTCAGCGGTCCTCCAGGTCAAGATGTTGAGCACAAGCATGACGATGGGCAGCACGTCAAGAGTACCGTAAATTAGCAGTTGGAAGACCACGTCTGCATACCTCCGGTGAAGGAGTGTGCGCGAACCTTTGCACAACTTCGGATGCCTTTCCAAATTAAGTCCAAGTGGCTTTCGGCAGTGCCCGAGCGGCTGTGGCCAACCACAAACATAAAATGTTCCAGCAGAAATTTCTGCAAAGGACGAAAAGCACAATGACCGCCGGTATGCTTCAAAAACATCATGACCTCATGGGTGCTGTTTCATTCTGGGGACCGGCAACAAGAGCCAGAAGTGTTGTGCCAAGGGCAATTCCAAATCATGCTGTGCGTTATAGCGTACTTCACGGTCATGATTTTGATAATCGACTACTAACCGCGAAGGACTCTGAGAAAACTATAAACGCCAACCAGTGCTTACTGAGTTTTTCTGGCAATCACGCTTCCAAGTTGCGCCAGCTGTCCACTGCCAACAGGAAACAGAATCGCAAGATCTCGCTACCAAGGTTTACCAGCAGCCAGCTTTTGATGAACGTGGCCAGGAAGTGTAGCTGGAAATCCAACTCGTCGGTTGTTTCTCTGTACGTCCGGTACCAGTCCACGTGCCAGAAAAGTATGACTACCAATACAGAGCAAGCAATTGCACAAGCAACGATCAGCAATAGGTAGGAGTGCCACAAGGAGAGTATTTGCCTTGTTGCATTCCATTGCTCAAGCTTGCGTCTCACTTGGATATCCGTTCGTAGGCTGAGTGTTCGCGTCTCCCGTCTCTGAGGGTTGAATCTGCGGGGCTCGTCTTCAGTCTCTGATGGGTCGAATTGAATGCACGGATCTTCGGACGCGCTGAAGTCGTCGTCGTTTTCCGACATCAACCATGTACTGTGCGGCGGTCATGGCATTTGTTACCGTCGCAACTCCATTCTGTCTTGGCTCTCGTGTGACTAATCGTGCAGAAGCCCGGGCAAATGCTGACAGGCTTTGTGTTAACGGGGATCTCTTGCTTGCACTGCATTGCCAGACTGGTGATGATAGTGCCAAAAGCTATTACGTTACGGTGACGCTGGAGCCAGGAGGCAGGAAGGGTGGACACGTTGGGAAGGCCACACAGCATGAACCAGACACAAACCAAGACTCGGCTGCGCAATTGGTCATCAACAGCATCCTCTGCTGACTTCGTAACATCGCATGCAGATTCTTCGACCCAAGGTGGGCATTTAGGGACTTGTTCCTGGCCGCGCTTCGAGCCTGCACGAATCTCCTCGCGCGGCAAGATCGGAGTGGCACGAACAACGCGGTCCACGAAACACAGCATCAGGCCGTGCTGGAGTCTCAGCAGGTCTCAGGACATGATGGGTGCACTGCGCCAGGCTTCTTGCGGCACATTGGCCAGCCAGGCCTCGGTGACGGGGTTCCGTGCGTGCGCAGTGGCTCACAGTCTAAGGCTCCCCGACCTGACGAGATTACATCTACATCAAGTAGTGTAATGTGCTTATGGATGTCTGCGTATCACTGCATGTTTGCGTGTGAGGATAAGCATATATTATATAAGTATATAAGTGTACGTGGGCCCGTGACGTGCTGCTGCTGTTGCCCAGCCCACACTGAGTCAAGGGCTCCGGCGAGGCTGTCAAGCTCCTGCTCTTCAGCACGCGAGAAACCAATGACTGGCACTGCGTGGAGCGCAGCAGTGGCTGCTAACAGCACATTCCCGACATCCAGTGGAATCCAGCATCCACTGCTGAGCGATGTACCTTCCATGCTGGGCGACTGTCGCCAGCAGAGATTTGCAGTTCTCGGAGAACCTCGAGGTTTCAGTCGCATAGTCATTGCAAGGCAGTCTTGCAGCTGACTCTCTGCATTGTTGGCTCAAGGCTGTCATTCTATGCAATCGGGCAAAAACTGGTCTGCTAGCGAACTGAGCTAACTCAAGCAACCACTGGAGTACTGCAATCATCATTCACAGAGATGCTCTGAAACAAGCTCTTCAGTTTGGCCTCTTGGTCACTGAGCCGCTCTGCCACGCTCAGCTCGGCATCTTTCTGGTCCTCGCGAGAGCCCACCATGGACTGACACATACTCACGATGTCCGTTCCTCTGGCGCAGGAGGATCCACAAGCATGCTCGGAAGGGCAGTTGTTGCCTGTCAATGCCACTGTTGCAAGACAGTGACCGCGGGTCAGCAATGAGCAGGATTGTACCATGCCTCGGTGTGGCTGGCAACCTGTGCAGAAGCAACCGCAAGCCGCAGGACTATGGAATTTGTGCCTGATTAAACAAACGATGCCTTTGCAACACTGTCCCCTTTGCAAGTCACTTATGGTCACATCCCCGACGCATGAATGAGCAATGACACAGATACTGAGCATGGTATTGAACAAGGGTAAAACTAAGAAGTGTCATGCCATAGCAATGATAATCACTACCTATAATACCTATAACGATGAAAACTTAGCTCTTGACCACCACGCAAAAGCACAATCACAATACAGCATAGTGGCTAGCAAACACAACCACAACCTTGCCGACGACCACGATAACGACGTGCATGCGAACATGTCTCGGAGAAGGTCCATTCGCAGCTCATGAGCCACGTACAACAACAACAACAACAACAACAACATTTCATTCACACGCAGCGGGAGGATATGTCTCAGGTGAAACTGAATGTCCTCGCTTGGCGAGTACAACAACAACAACTACAACAACAACAACAACAACAACAACTACTACTACTACTTCTACTGCCACTACTACTACTACTACTACTACTACTACTACTACTACTACTACTACTACTACTACTAATACTACTGCTACCACTACTACTACTACCACTACTGCTGCTGCTGCTACTACTACTACTACTGCTACTACTAGCCGCCGGACGGGAACCGTCTGTCAGTCGCTATGCTTCAGACTTCATGGACGGAGCAGCGTGTGCAAGTGCAGGTGTTCATCACAAGTATCACGACGATGATCGTCATCAAAACCATTGCAATCGAAAATCGAGGCTCCAAAACAAAGACAAAATATTGACTCTGTACGGGGCCTGGTGCAATCCTAAAGCTGCCCGGTGATCCTTCGCTTATCCTGCGATAATCCAAGCTTGACTGCGTCTACATGATGCCGGCACTATAACTCATGATGCTTGTGCACGGGCTGACGCTGTCCGAATTGGCGGCATGGCAAGAGCAAGCAGTGCCCGCCAGCAAATCAGGCCTGGGAGACTGATGCGACCAAGCTCACCTGGCGGCAAGTAGGACTCAATACCCTGAAGTCCTTTTTCAAACTCTACCGACTCCATGGAGCCAGGTTCGCATCTCGGGGGCCCTGCCCATGGATGCCCAGACATTGCGATGCAGCTGATCCAGCCGGAGCATCCTGACCTGTTCCACATGTTCCAATCACTTCGATTCGCAACTGCCGGACAAAACATGGACCTTCGAGAGCGATTTAGAGCAAGGGGAGTCAAAGCAGCGACGTCGTGATGCTTGCCATTGCTCCTGGATCCTGGGCCGCCGAGCTGGTCGTGTCTGACCTTGCGCATGCCACATTATCTTAACACCAGCCAGCTATCGTAGAGGCAAAGCGATCATCACATCACTCGAGTGCACCGAACCCGGCAGACCCTGCTGCGTGAGACACTGGGCTGCCGAACGTAGAGCCGGCGTGTCTCAGGCTCGAAGCCACCGTGCAAAACATCAAGTAAGGTGCCCTGTGCAAGCACATCTCTTTGTGCAAGCATTACGGGAGCATAACTTCTCCATCTTGAATCTGAAGCATTTGTGCCGTTGCGGAGCGATGAGGCTTCCATGTAGTTTCGAAGCTGCTATAGTGGGGTCTTACTATGGCTTCCTTCTTTCGCGAGTCGCCTCCCTCAGCACCGTGACCACCTTGCTGTCAAGGGACTCCTCACCCATCAGGTGGGAACTGATACAAACATTCTGGCAGCTTTCTGCTCAGTCGGCCTCCGCACGCACGACGATTTCGTCGAGGACGGTCACCTGGCAGCCTGTCTGGCAGCGCAGTTTCGTCAACCAAGTGTTCGAACTACCACAATGGTTGTTTCCAGAAAGGCTCAAGCGGGGGGTCGCGAGCTGCATTTGGTTTCGGCATGTTCAGCCACACCCCAAATGGCCACTGGGCAGCCGCAACCCTCAACCCTTCTTGAACCGTTCATAACGACACATATCAAAAATGACTATAAAGAGGAGTCGGCTGAAGGACTTTTTGGGTGTTCTACATTTCTGCGTCACAAAGCAGGGCGTAGAGCTTGGGGCCAAAGGTGCAAGATGTACATTACACTGTACCTAGTCATTCCAGAGCCATGTTACATGAATAATATCTCAAGGAAAAACCATCTTTGTCGGGCCTGTTCACCCCGTTTCAAAAGCCACCGGACTTGACTTTTCTCAACACTCACCGTTCGTGCCAAAGCTCACAGCGGTGCAACTGAAATAACTCGCTTGTGCGTAGCTCGCAACCATTCGCAACCACTACCCCTCTCCGATCCAAGGATCTGCAAAGCAAACTTGGCTAAACTGTCCGTCCAAAGGTTAGCAGTCTTGCACTCCTGCGAAGCAAAAAAAGTAAGATGTGCCAGGTTCGAAACTGAATTGCAGCCCGGATCTGGGCGATAAGTCGCAAGCTAAGGGGACTTTACTGTTTGTGTCTCTTCTGATCAAGCAAACGGGAGTCTCACATCAAAGCGGAGTCTGCCTTGAGGGAATGCCAGTGCCGGTGCCTTCACGGCCTGATGGTCATGCAGCCTACACCATACTGTATATCCATTCCTCTACATCACGACTTTGAAAATCGGCTTGTTGGTTAACCTTTAGGGCAGCTCAAGTCCAGCTGCGAACCTCATATACCTCATTCGACCTCATGACGAAAAGTGACAGCTCAGCAGGCGCCTGCATCGCTGTGGCACCTGACGGAGGAGAAAGGGGGGCATCACTTCTGGAATGCCAAGGTCTGCAACATGCATGAAATTTCTCAGAAGCATGCGAACATGAATGCGTAAAGCTTTGTTGATGGGAATCGGTTCTCTTGACATTTCTTGTTCACGGCACCTCGATGTCTGCATGTTTTTGGGTTCGACTGGTGATCTCGCCTCAGTTCTGTTGCGGCACACGTGGGCAAGGTGCTGTGACGCCTTGGCCAGTCACCTGCTCCTGGCTCACAAAAGCCTCGGCGGACGCAGCTTGCATGAGGAAGTGCAATGGCGCCGGCTGCCGTGCAAGTCGCTGTAGCTGCAGTATGCTAGAGTATCATTGATGGACCAATACGATGCGTGAACTGTTCTGTCCCAACTGGAAATATGATGTAACTGTGAGCGAACCTCTGGCCCAAGCTTGGTCTTGAACCGTTGCCGCTGCAGGGAACAGCGCCTTGGGGACAATGCTCGCCATCTACGGCGCTAAATCTTTTGGTGTTAATTTCAATGATGTTCTTGTTATCATTTCTTTTACAGCAAAAGATGGGCAATCTGCAAACTCCGAACTGTCCTTTGTGGCATTTTCTTTTGGACTTTGCGTTTGCAGGGCTCTCTGTTGTGTTGCGGCTAGCTCTCGGGGCTTTGCCAATTACACATAATAAGCTGGTTCTCGCGTGGCCACGCGCCTGCCGCCTCGGCCCGAATGGCCTAACCCACCCCGGTTGATCACATTGCTTAACGCGGGTTTGCGCAAACACCTTTGGCCATCCTGGCGCATCACGCTTCTCATACGCGGACCTTCATGTGGCAACTCCATGCAACGCCGATTCATGACATATGCTGCACCCGCCCCTTCGTTAGGCGAAATGGATCGATGACATTTCTTAAACCCCCGCTCATTAAGTGCTTGCGCCTTTTCACATGTGCCAAGTGCGTTGGAAATCCTGGTTGATCATCTATCTGAAACACAGCACATTTCATTTAGCGACCCCAGTTGATCACATATCTTAAAATCGGTCCCCTTCATTTGGCGATTCCGGTACATCATATATCTTTAGCACGCCCGCTCATTTGGCGATTCCGGCTCATCATACAATGTACACGCCTCCTGATTTTGCAGTTCCGGTACCGTATATGTTAGACACACCCCCTCATTTGGCGATTCCGGTTCATCATATACACTATCCAAAAACTCAAACACGCACCCTCATGTGGCGAGTCCGGCTCGTAACCATGTCTATAAACAGAAATCCATCCTGAGGACACTCCCTGATTTGGCGAATCCGGTTCATCAGCCCGGTCAATCGGCGATTCCGGTTCATTGTATATCTAAAACACCCTCCCTCCTTTTGTCGATTCCGGCTCATCATATGTCTTCAACAAGCCCCCTCATTTAGCGATTGCATTTCATCAAAGGTCTTGAAAATACCCCTGATTGTGTCGATTCCGGGTTATCATATACCTTAAAACCCTTTCGAAAGTCTCAGAAGGTATCTTCAGTGATGGCAAAACCGTCTTGGAACCCGGGTAATGATTGCTGCGGTGTGCAGCCTCTGCACACTTTGCGGCAGCCCATACCGATTCAAGGCAAAGCTTGAAAGTAGGCTACAGGCTTCACAGCAGCCGGTGAAGTGATTGAAACGCTCGGCCACTGCAAGCAAAAGCTGATTAGATCGAGGAAACGTCCGAGGAGCCCTCATTGACATGCAGGCAGCAATAGGTGCATGGATCGCTGCTCTCACGCGGTGAAAACGTCAGAAAGGGAGGTCTGCGCAGGCTGTACCAGTAAGGGTTCATGTGTCATATATGTTAAGCACGCCCCCTCTTGGCGATTCCGGTTCATCATATTAACCGTAAACACCCCCCTCATTTGGCGCTTCCTGTGTGTCATATATTTGTGTATATATACATACACACACACAAACACATATAAACACACATATACATATACATATATACATATATACATATATACATATACATATACATATACATAGACATAGACATCTACATCTACATCTACATCTACACATACACATACACATACACATACATATACCCATACATATACATATACCTAGACCTATACATATACACATACATATACACATACACATACACATGCGCATACACATACACATGCACATACACATGCACATACACATGCATATACAGATACAAATACACATACATATACATATACACATACATATACATATACATATACACATACATATACATACACATACACATAGACATACACATACACATACACATATATATATATATATATATCCTAAGCACGCCCCTTGATTTTTGCCACACAACCTCATTTGGCCATTCAAATTCATCAGCCCCCTCAGTCGTCGATGGATCTTAACCACACCCATGCATTCGGCGATTCCAGTTCATCAAAAGTCTTGAAAATGCACCCTCATTTGGTGAGTTCCGATCAACATAATATATTTTAACCTCAAGCACGCCCCTTCGTTTGGCGATTCTGGCTCAGCATATGTACATTACCATATACCAGAAACCATGTACCATATACCATCTACCGCATATATGTATATATATATATATATATATATATGTTGTTTGTAGTTTTTTATGACCGAGAGAGAGAGAGTTTTACACGACCATTGAGGTAATCCCACAAGGCTCGAGTCCGGGTGCATCGTGACGCTGCCGCTCTTGTTTTGATACATGTAGAAATTCAGGACATGGCTGGCTCCAGGTCCTTGCTAGTCAAGTCTGTATTCTAAGTTCTAAAAGCCAACAGGAACCTCGAGAAAGGCTTCGATAAGCATGGAAAGATCTTGTAAGCATTTCTATTGCAGATGGATGTTGTAATTTCAAACTAATGCCCGATCAGCCTCAACAAAGGCCTCGGTAATCTTGCAGCCAGCGGTGCTTTTGCTGGTTTCCCAATCCCAACCGTCTTCCAAGAACTCGATAGCTCAGACTTCGAAGGCCCTCTGAGATTGAGCTGCTGCTGATCCAATGCGCCAGCAAGCTGCTGGGCGCCCGCCCCAAGTCAACCCCAGCGACCGGAAGTCAACCCCAGCTGCCTGCACATGGATTTTACCGCTAGACAACCCCACGCCGGAAGTCGACACCAGAACTTGGAAAACGTAGCATTCCGCAAGTGCACACCACACGTGAGAATGCCGACGTTGTATTCCGAACCTACGAATCCCCAACGTTTGCGCTGTAAAAACCATAGGTTTGACCACGATGGGCGTTGGTTTGATGACGATGGACAAGAAGTTTCACTGGCGCACACCGAGCGGCACGACACCTCCACGCCTACCTTGTTTTGCAAGGGGGCCCCTCCGTTTTACATTTCGGGTGGTTTCGGCAGCCCGACCTAAATGTAAAATGAACCCTCGTGGTAACCATGCTCGTTTCAGCACCACGGACATTCACCTCGACATGTTTGCGTATCAGGTGGCTCTCAGACGACTCTCAGGCAAGACACTGGCAGGACGTGTTACAGCAAACTCACAGGACAGTCGCGGGTCGCGGGACCTGTTTTTGTTCCCTGCGGGAACTCATCAGAGTTAGTCGGCATCCCCATCGACTGCTGCCCTGTTGCCGTCGAGCAGTCGGCTGAGAGTGTGGATTTTTTTTTTTACGCCTGAACGGCTCCCGGGGGTCCGTCTACCGAAACGCTTTCCCACTCCAGGACTAATCTAGCAAATTTGCGTGCTGTAGCAGAGTGGGGAAAGCGCACCAGCCCCGTTAAGCACGCCCTGACAGTGTGCTTAACGGGGGCTGTTCAAGTACAAAGAGGGTTCCAGTCGCATGTTGCCCTGCATTTGCTCGCGCAGGAACCGGAGCTTGCAGCAACCCTCGTCGTGCCCCTGGCGGCACGGCAGATTCGAGTTTGCGCTTGTGTGTTATCCCGCGAACATGTGGAGGCTGTCGAGCTGTTGGCCCCGAAGTCTGAAGCACAGGACTGGAAAGAGTTCGCCTCGCTGTGTGTGGGGACTGCGCCTCCGACGTTACGGCTCGGCTCGGCCCGCACGTAACCCCCACAACCCATTCCCCCCGACGTTTGCAGTGCTCTCTGCGTGTGTCTGTATGCACACAGAGAAAGAGCGAGAGGCAACGCCGGCACGTGCAATCACAGTGTACACATCAGTGTCTCTCTCTCTCTCTCTCTCTCCCTCCCTTTCCACCGCTGATATCTGCATTGTGACCAGCTATAGTTTTTTTTTCCGGACCTTTTTGCTACTGCACGTGAAAGAGGTCCAGGTCCCTGTGCCATCTGCAGCCTACGGCGGTAACTGGCGACTCACGCACGGGCAGGGAGGCGGCTGGGCTCAGGAGCCTCCTGCCAGCGAGAGTCAGCAAGGAGCTCGTGCAAAGCCGGTGGCGGGCCAGCAGCACCAAGCTCAGACTGAAGGGGAAGCTCAAGGAAAGTGGCAGCGAGTGCACGCTGCGCCGCAACGGAGATGAGTCCACTCCAGCGGAGAACCCATGCGGTTTGGGCGGCGTTGCGCAAAGCGGCGGGGGCACCTGCGGCCCGCGCCCGGGCGAGGAGGCGAACAAAGGTGGCAGCTTCGTCAGCCCAGCGTCCGCCCACCTCGAGTCCGAAAACGACCAGGCGACAGCGTCGGCTGCGGTCGATCTCGGGGTACGTCTGCCTGCGTTTGCGCCGCGCAGCACCGCGGACGGCCCAACCCGGGTGGTGTTCAGCGCCGTCATGCGGGCGGCCATCTCGGGTCACCGGGCTGACGAGCGTCGCGTCAACGGCCAGCTGCGCGCCATGCCAAAGCGGCAGGCCGTTGCAGACGACCTCGATGCGCCTCGCGTCGTGGACTGGCACATCGATGTTCATGGCGGCCAGCGCGACGTTGCGCCCGACACGCGCCCCGGCTTCCTGGCTAACGCGGGCGATGGCCCGCTCGAGGGGTAGTGCGCGGGAGGCGACCATGCCTGATGTGGAGCATGCAGCTCGGTGGTCTCCGTACACAT